ATATATATATATATATATATATATATATATATATTGAGGTAAGAGACAGCAAAGGGGTATACAGACAGCTGAAGTGTTCAGTGAGAGTAGCAATTGCGTTTATCTCAATGCTGCAAGCATAAGAGGAGGAGGCGACAGAGAAACAAACAAACAACCAACCAACCAAACAAACAAACAAACAAACAAACAGACAAACCTGAGGCAGCGCATGCAGCTGCTTTGTTGCTAGAGGATGTCTTGCAGGTGCAGGGGGAGGGGGTATTTCTTCTTTTTTAATTTGCTGCGGCAGCAGCGTAGCTTCATATTCAAACCACCACTCTAATACGCGCAGCAGCAGCAGCACAGCAGCAAGACAGTTGCGCAGCCGGCGCGCCCCCCCTTCAGCAACAGAGAACCACCAAGAGCCCCTTCTTCTTGCACCAGGAGCAGCAGCAGCAGCAGCAGCAGCTGCTGCTGCTGCAGCAGAAGCTTCCGTAGGAGCGCGCACATACACCAGCCCCAGCAAATGCATATAAGGAGACCAATAAGGAAATGCAACAGGATCAGCTAAGTATAATAAAGAATAAACAAAAGAAAAGAGATCATGTACAAGGCTCAGGCGAGGGAAAGCAGCAACAAGGCGATCCCATAGACAGCTGCGCATACACCGCAGAAACTGCAGCAGCAGCAAACGCAAACGAAGCCACTGCAGCAACAACCGCAAACGGAAACGACGCAGCAGCAACCACAAACGATCCCCCCAAGCAGCAGCTGCTGCTGTCAGACGCAGTGTTGTTGTATCTGGTGGGCTGATACTGCTGCTGCTGCTGCTGCTGTTGCTGCTGTTGTTGCCGCTGCCGTCGCTGCTGCTGCTGTCGCTGACGTCGCTGCTGCTGCTTAGAAGCAAAAGAATATCGGCTGGGAGAGAGGAAGAAGGAAGTGGGGCCTCTTGCTGTCTTTTTAATTCTGCTGCTGCTGCAGCAACTGCTTCTTTTGCCGCTGCAATACGTCTTGCTGCTGCTGCTCTTGCGCTTGCTGCTGCTTCTGGGGCCTCCTGCTGCAGCCGGTGAGCCTGCTGCAGCTGCCGCCGCAGATGCGGCAGCAGCACCTCCACAGCAACGCAGCAAGCGATTTTTAGGGGAGTCATAGAGCGTGGGAGAGCAGCAGCAACTGCTGCAGCATCCCTGCTTATTTGCTGCTGCTGCTGCAGCAGCGCCGTCGGAAGGGGTAGCGGCACCCCCCCCTTCGTCTGCAGTGAGTGGGGCTGCCTTGCTGCCTCACCATTACCACTGCTGCTGCTGCTGCTGCTGCTGCTGCTGTATATATGGGGGTAGTTGAGGCGAGTATGAAGCATAAACAGCCTTCTATCCGCCCTACTCATGCAATAGAAGCCCTCAGCGAAGGAAGCCCCAGTAGAAGCAAAGCTATGCGTCTCTACAGCAGCAAGCAGCAGCAAATAAAGTAAATCAAAGTGCTGCTCAACCCACCGCAATACAGCAGCAGCATCTGCACGCAGCAGCAAACGAATAGAACCCCGGTCTGCTGCTGCTGCTGACGATATTGCAGCTCTTGCTGCTGCTGCAGCGCGAAGCAAACGGCCCCACAGCCACGCAGATAAGAAGGAGCCCTTCAACGAGCGAAACTGAGGGCGCTGTCGCTGCCGCCCTTGCTGCTGCTGCTGCTGCTGCTGCTGCTGCTGTGGCGCGCCGTCATCTGCGGAGGTCGGTTCAGTTTCTGCCGCAGCAGCCCCCCGTTGCTGCGCTGCTGCTGCTGTTGCTGTTGATGCTGCTGCTGCAGCAGCAGGAGGAGTGTTGTCTGCATAGAGACTCTGGAGGGTAACGACGCAGTGCCGAAGAGCAGCATAAAGACCCTCTAGCAGCTTTTGCTGCGCCAGCAACTCAAAGAAAGATCCTTGCTGCAGCTGCGCTGCTCGCTGCAGCATTTGCTGCTGCCGCAGCAGCAGATCGATCCCGGTTCCCCCTGCTGCAGCAGCGGCAGCAGCAGGCTGGTGGGCCTGCCGCGTAGCAGCAGCAGCAGCTGCAGCAGCAGCAGCAGCAGCAGCTACTGCAGCTGGGTGCCCCTCGGGCAGCTGCTCATACAGCGAAGTAGCAAACGCGTTCTCCGCCATCTCCCCAGCAACAGCAACAGCAACAGCAGCAGCAGCAGCAGCAGCAGCAGCAGCAGGAGCCTGTTATTGCTGTTTAGGACTCCCAAGCTGGAAGGGTAGAGAGGAAGCTGCGTAGATGCTCAGCAAAAAGAGAGTTATTAACTGGCTTTGAAGGTGAGAAGGAGGGGCTCTTAATAACTGTTTCTAAGAAGATATTAACATAGATGTGCTGCAGCGCAGCAGATAAGTACGGCACCTCAGGCGAAGATAAGCATGCAAAGCCGTACCCTGTTGGTGTTTCAAGATAATGAAGCTTATAATGCGGCGTTGAGAAACAATTAAAACTGCTGCTGTTGCTGCTGCTGCTGCTGCTGTTGCTGTTGCTGCTGCTGCTGCTGCTTACAGATGGCCCCACCTGCTCACAGAAACGCCGCATAGAGTACAGCAAACCTGAAAGCAAACGACCCGTCTGCTGCTGCCGCTTCGTTAGGGGGGCCCCGGGGCCCCCTGCTGCTAGAGTGTCTAGGCAGCTACCCCCTTGTCCGTTGCTCGCGCGCTGTTGGAGGCTTCCTGCTGCTGCTGCTGCTCCTCCTGCAGGTACAGGGGCAGCTACAAGCGCTGAACCCGCCGTAGTTCGCTGCAAAGAGACGTCGTGGGGGAAGGCAGAGCCCTGACGAGAAGAACCTCCCCCGCTGCTGCTGCTCCTCTGCTGTTGCTGCTGTGCTGCTGCTGCTGCTGCTGTCGCAGCAGCAGAGTCAGAGCCTGCTAATGCAGGGTTTGTGCCTCTTTGCGGGTATTGTGCGACAAAGATGCAGCGGTTTCGATGAAATATGTAAACAGAATAAATCATTTTGCCTGCTGCGGCTGTTGCTGCTGCTTAGGAGACCTAGAGCGCAGTGATGCCTTAAGTGTTGTGAATAAACACTCCCCTCGTTTCAACGCTAGCGGAGAGGCTTTGCTACGCTGCTGCTGCCACTGCTGCTCCTGCTGCTGGCTTCAGAACCGCAGCAGCAGTGAGGGGTTAAACTCAGAAGAAAGAGAGAGAGAGAGAGTTTTCTTGTTTTTATTGTCTCTCCTGTCTCTGTCTCAAGCCTTGTCTCGCCCGAGACACCAAGCCCCAGGCGGGAGCACGAGCGCCGACTGCTGCTGCTGCTGCTGCTGCTGTTGCTGCAGCCCCTAGGTTGGACTAGCAGCAGCAGCGGTAGCTGCATGCATGCGGCAGCGCTGAGTATTATTTGTTTTGTTCTAATAACATTAAGTCTTGTAACTGACAGAGAGAGCTTCTCTGTGCTTGTTTGCTGCGGCAGCAGCAACGGCAGCAGCAGCAGTTGCAGCAGCAGCAGCAGCAGCGGGGTTCCAGCAGCAGCAGCAGCATCTCTTTGTGTAACGCACTTCAGCGCTTAATATAAGAAGGTGCAGGTATAGGATTGAGAATTTCAGTGTGCATGCGCAGCAGCTGCTGCTGCTACCGAGCAGCAGCAGCACAGCAGGGTGTCTAGGGACCCCCGCTCTCACAGCAAGGGGAGCAGCACCAGGTGCTGCAGCAGCAGCAGCAGCAACAATGCCGCCCCCTGTGCTTTCAGAATGCGTCCTGGAGGAGGAGGAAGACCAGCAGCAGCAGCAGCAGCAGCTCGATGAGCCTGTACCCTTAATGAGTGGGGCGTTGCTGCGCCGCAGACAGAGAGGACCCCCTGCCTCAGCAGCAGCAGCAGAAGCAGCAGCAGCAGATCCCGCATCGTCAGCATTCCTAGGTAACAGCAGCAGCAGCAGCAGCAGCAGCAGCGTATCTGGAAGTTGGGGGGATTGGCCTTCGCGGCAGCAGCAGCGCCGGACGCAGCAGCAGCAGCAACAGCAGCAGCAGGAAGACGGTAAGATATTGCTGCCGTATAGGGTATTAGCAGCAGCAGATACTGCGCAGCAGAGCAGGGCGTTTGGCTTGCCTTTGCCTTCTCTTAGTTCTGCGGCAGCAGATGCAGCAGCAGCAGCAGCAGCAGCACAAGCTGCACAGGGTGCAGCAGCGGAGTCCCCTTCTGCTGCTGCTGCTGCTGCATTTTTGTCTCCTGGTGCTGCACCTCCTCCGTACGTGTGCTGCTTGGGGGGGGCTAGCAGCAGCAGCAAGCTGGGTCGTCTGCAGCAGCATCAGCAGCAGCAGCAGCCGTTTGCTGCTGCTGCGCTGCTGCGGTGCGTGCGCTGGCTACAGGGTGTCTCCTTCTGGGGGTTTTCAGGCGTCTCTTCGTGTGGGGTTGGTCTTGAAGCAGCAATTGCATTTCTTATGAATTGTATGCAAGAGACATTTGCTGCTGAGTTGCTGCTGCCGCAAGGTGCTGCTGCATTCGGGGGCCCCGCTACACTGGAGCTGCAGCGGCTGCTGCGCCATCCTGCTGCTGCTGCTGCACCTCACAAGCTGTTGTCTTTTCTGCTCCCCAAGGCAGCAATGAAGACCCTCCAGGCTGCGCTGCTGCTGCTGCTGCCATCGCAGCAGCAGCAGCAGCGCAGTAAATGCGGGGCGCTCACGCTAGCGCTAGGGCCCCCGTGTGGCTTGCTGCTGCAGAAGCAGCAGCAGCAGCAGCAGCAGCAGTTCCAGTTGGGGTTCTCGTCGCTGCAGCAGCAACAGATGTCGCGTATAAGGAGACAACCCACCACTCTTTTTATTGCTGATGGCTGCAGCAGCAAAAGAAGCCGGCAGGTTGATAGCGGGGGATGTGTTGCTTTGACTGCTGCTCCTCTTGCTGTTGCTGCTGCTGCTGCTGGGACCGGACAGCAGCAGCAGCAGCAGATGTACGAACAAGTGCTGCTCGGCAGCGCCCCACACGACCCTTTGGTGCTGCACTCCGGGGAGGCGGATTCCTTAGCGGAGTTGCTGCTGGAGCCGCAACCGGAGCAGCAGCAGCAGCAGCAACATAGCAGCAGCAGCAGCAGCAGCGAGTGCCGCAGCGTCTGCTGCGCGCTGTTTCTATACGAAGAAAGCCACGCCCGTGGTGATAGCGATTTGTCTCCTCGTTTGCTGCTGTCTTACTCAGACGGCTTGCTGCAGCTGCTGCAGCGGAGGCAGCCCTCTGCTGCTGCTGCAGCAGCAGCAGCTTGGTGGGGCAACAGCAGCAGCAGCAGCAGCAGCAGCAGCTGGGGTGGAGTTACACCTGATGGCAAGGAGTGGTTTGAAGTGTGGCGCGACTGGCTGAGTTCCCCCCTTGAGGGCCTCTTCTTGCTGCCTGTCTCCAGCAGCAGCAGCAGCAGCAGCAGCAGCTGGGGTGTCTGCGCACCTCTGGTGTGTGGATACAGCGCAGCAGGAGTCACGGTCTTCTCTCCGCTCAGCGCGGGGTGTATATACAGCTTACCTTCTTGCTGCTGCACCTCTGCCTTTTCTCTCTTTGGGGGTTTGGAGTACTTAACCGGGCATCGACAAGTTGCTGCTGCTGCTGCTGCTCCCAGCTTCAGCAGCAGCAGCAGCAGCCGCAGCAGCAGCTGCATCGCCGTGCTTAGTAGGAGGGGGCTTCTGGTGCTGCAGCAGCTGCAGCTCCGCCCTGAGGCAGCTTTGCTGCTGGGGGGGCCCCCCGTGTCTCTCTCTGCTGTCTGTCGGGTCCCGCTTGCTGCAGCAGCAGCAGCAGCGCTGCAGAAAGGCAGCCGGGTGTACATGCAGCGCTGTGAAGGTCTGCGCTGTCTACTGCTGGGGGTACAGGGCAGCAGCAGCATCTTCTTGATTGGGTTCTCTGCTGCTGAAGACTGCAGCAGCAGCAGCAGCAGCAGCAGCGGCTTCTTTGCCGCTGCAGCAACAACGCTTGCTGCCGTTTCCCGAAGTTTGCTGCTGCCTTTCTTGCCTGCTGCATCTTCTAGGCATCCCTACCACCTGCAGCAACAACAACAACAGCAGCAGCAGCAGCAGCAGCAGGAGCAGCTGGTTGGCTTTTGCATAGCATGGCAGCTGCCGCGATCAGTCCGCATCGCTCCCCCAGCAGCAGCAGCAACTGCTGCTGCTGCTGCTGCTGCTGGCGGTGTGCAGCAGCAGCAGGTAGGAGATCTTGAATGCCTTGCGGTAGTGGAAGACGTCACCCGAGGCCTTTGTTTTGTTGCTGTTGCTGCTTCAGTCTGCCCTGAAGTGCTGCTGTTCTGCTGCACCTTCCCTCCGACGCCGCAGCAGCAGCTGCCGCTGCAGCAGCAACAGCAGCAGCAGCAGCAACAGCAGCAGCAGCTCTTCGGTGGGGTTGACCTCTGGAGAGGCAGCGCATCGCTTCGGTATCGCCTTAAACCTCCAGTAGCAGGCTGGCGCGTAGCAGGAATGACTGTCTTGAACGACAGCAGCAGCAGCAGCAGCAGCAGCAGCAGCAGGCCTCTGCTGGTGGCAGTGCGTTGGGGTTTGCTGTGTGCAGCGGGAGAGACGTCTGTTAAGCGTGAGACAGAGCTGCTTCCTGCTGCAGTTTGTCTCTATGCTCTTTCAACGGTAGGGGGGTCTCCCTCTCTTTATATGTGGGGTCCAGCAGCAGCTCCGTCTCTTACAGGTTGCTTCCTTCGAAACCAGCAGCAGCTGCAGCAGCTGCAGCAGCAGAAGCAGCAGCAGCAGCAACTGCTGCAGCAGTCGGGCCTGTACTCCACCGCCGACACCAGCGCAGCAGCAGCAGTGGCTGCTGCACGTGGGGACCCCTTGCTGCTGCAGCAAAGCAGCAAGTTGCCGCTGCTAGGCAGCAGCAGCAGCAGCAGCAGCAGCAACCTGCTGCTGCCCAACGTAGGCGGGGATCTTTCATGGAGTAGGAGGGGCCTCGGGGCCTCGCGGGGGCCCCTGAACGATTCCCTTGGGTGGGGGGTGCTTGGAGGAGGGGGCTCTGCTTCTCTGCTGCTGCAGCAGCAGCAGCAGCAGCAGCAACCTCAGCTGCCTCACCAGCCGCTGCTGCAGCAGCAGCCATGGGACTCAACCGCCAATCTGGGGCTTCTGGGGTTGAGCAGCAGCACCGCCGCTGCTCTTGAAAACGTAAGGAAGCAGCAGCAGCAGCAACAGCAGCAGCAGCAGCAGCAGTGGCTAGGGATGCACCGCCTTGGATACCAGCACCGTTTGCTGCTGCACCAGCAGCAGGAAGATCAGCTGCGGCAGTGGCAGCGCCGTAGGGCGCAGCAACAGCTGCTGCAGCAGCTGCAGCAGCAGCAGCAGCTGCAGCAGCAAGCCGATGCCTTCCCGTTGGGTGGTGGGGGGCCCGACTTGGAGCTGTTCCCTCCCTACAACTCAACAGCAGCAGCAGCAGCAGCAGCAGCAGGGCCCCTGGGGGGCCCCTGGGGGCCCCTACCCTCTTCTTCCTTTCCGCTCAGGCGACCGCTGCTTCCTATCAGGCGCGAGGAGCCGTACCAGCAGCTGCCTTTGCTGCAGCAGCAGAAGCAGCTGCAGCAGCAGCAGCAGCAGCAGCGCGGGAGTCGCTGGGGCGGTTCTGCTGCTGCAACAATATATGGGAGAGCTGCTGAGCCCCTGTGGGCCCCAAGCAGACACTACAGAAGCAATAGAGCTGCCTATACACTCGACGGGGGGTTGCTGCCGATGCAGCAAGACCTCCCTTTGGCTTCTTTTTGAAGTTGCAGAGGTTGCATGCATGCATGCGGGGTGTCTCCTGCTGCTGCTGCTGCTGCTGCTGCTGCTATCTGCGCATGCAGCAGGCAGCAGCAGCCAGCTGCTCACGCAACAAACCCAAGGGAAGAAGCTAATTATATTTAATACTCCGAATGGATACGAGCAGCTCTTGCTGTTGCTGCTGCTGCTGCTGCTGCTTTTGCTTCTGCTGCTTCTCTTGCTGCTGCTGTCGCTCTTGCTGCTGCTGCTTCTCTTGCTGCTGCTGTCGCTCTTGCTGCTGCTGCTTCTCTTGCTACTGCTGTCGCTCTTGCTGCTGCTGCTGTGCTTGCTGCTGCTGCTACTGCTACATTGCGGGGGTGTCTTGTGGAGGTACAGGCAGCAGCCGCTACTGCAGCAGCAGCTGCTGCTGCAGTTGCTGCAGCTGCCGAGTGAGGAGACAGCACCAGATTAATAAGAAGCATTTATATAGGCATAGAGACGCTCAGAGCAGTGCATGCATTTAATTAGAAGTAAACAAAACACAAAGAGAGATTAATATATACATATATATATATATGTGCAAATATATATATGTATATATATATATATATATTTCTATTTAGATATGTATGTATACACTGCCTACCGTATGCTTTTCATAGATACAGACATGCGTATATATAACTCGTACAATGCACATATATATACATATGCATGCATCATTATAAATATATATATATATATAAATCTATCTATCTATCTATCTATCTATCTCTATATACATATATTTATATATTTATATATTCTATATGAATGTCTCTCTATCCAAGCGTCTCCTTTTAGTGCTGCAGCTGTTGTTAATAGTAAATAGACAGACACACCTCAACAGGGAGAGCAAACATAGCAGCAAAACAATGCTGCTCTTTAACTAGCGCCTGCCTCCAACAGTTGCTGCAGCAACTGCAGCACTTGCTGCAGCACTTGCTCCCGCTAGCTAGCTAGCTAGCTAGCTAGCTAGCTAGCCGTAGGAGCGGCGCTGCGGTTGCTGCGAAGCTGTTGACCCCACAGCAATGTACAGCAGCAAATCTACAAACCAAAGCTGCAGCTGCAGCATCGATACTGTAAGCAGCAGCTCTAACTGCAGCAGCAGCAACCGCACAGAAGATAACAGCCCCGGAGAGACCCAGGGGGCCTCTGTTGTTTTGTCTCTTGCAGCAAACCATGATGCTGCTGATGCTGCTGTTGCTGCTGCTGTTGCTGCTGTTGCTGCTGCTGCTGCTGCATCAGGAGAGGATCTGCGCATAATTCGAGAACCTACAGTTAGCGCAGAAGAGTAAGCAGCGCCCGAGCCAGTAGCAGCAGCAGCATTACTGCTGCTGCTGCTGCTGCTGCTGCTGCTGCTGCTGCTGCTGCTTCTGCTGCTGTCTGCTTGATTCGCCAGCGTGCAAGAGGTTAGTCTCGGGTGTATCTGCTTCTTGCAGGGCCCACACAAGGAGTGCAGCAGCAGAGGAGACTGCTGGCGTAGTTGTGCTGCTCGTTGCTTCGCCTGCAACAGCAGCAGCAGCAGGTGCTGCTGCAGCGGCCCCGGGGGCTCCCCGTGCTCTCCTCTGTAAGCAGCAAGAGGATCTGCTTGTTCTGCACCATTAATTAAAACCATTTGAGTGTACAGATCTTCTAAAGGGTCCCTCAGCTGCTGCTGCTGCTGTTGCTGCTGCTGCTGCTGCTTTTGACGCTGCTGCTGGCAGGCCTGCAAGTCGGTTATCGCCGCAGCATTAGCATCAGAAGCAGCAGCAACAGCAGCAGCAGCAGCAGGAGGAGTGTTCAAGTGCTGCTTGTCGGTGTATTGTTGTGCAGCAGCAAGCGTAGTAGAGTCTGCTTCCTCTGTTTTGTTTGTTTTTGCTGCTGCTCTTCTCCAGCACCACGCTGCATAATGCGGGTATTCAGAATCAACAGGGAGGTTCAGACTCTCTGCTCCAGGCAGCTCGTACCAGCGAGGCGCACAACCTCGTCTTCTGCTGCTGCTGCTGCTGCTGCTGCTGCTGGTGCTGCTGCTGCTGCTGGTGCTGCTGCTGCTGTTGATGTCCGTGCTGCTGCTGCGTTCGGTGGTAGCAGTGTTGTGCTGCGGCTGTGTGTTATTGTTTGCTGCTGTTGGTGCTGTTGATGCTGCTTGTGCAGGGGCAAGTTTATCTGCTGCAGCAGCAGGATCAAGAGCAGCAGGAGCAGCAGCAGCAGCAGCAAGGAACTGTTTGCATTCCTCTAGCTTAGGCTTGAGTTTAGCATCTGTCAGCTGCACACCTTTGCATGCAGAGGCTCCCATAATAAGAAGTCTTTGTTTAGTTGTTCCGCCTAAGTCGCAGTTAATACTTCTAATAAGGTATGACATGCGAAGCACCCATAGTAAATCTCGAGGCAGCAGCTGCAGCAGCTGCAGCACAGTGTTAAACCCTTCTATAGGCGAACCACCTAAAGCTATCATTACTCTTCTTCTATCTTCTGCATGCAACGGGGCCCCCAGCTGAGTCTTTAAACCCAACTGAGGCCTGTATGTTAATACAACTGAAAGCAAATCTAATGCTGTGTCTTCATCTAGACACAACCCACTGCTGCTGCTGCTGCTGCTGCTGCTGAAGCTGCTGCTGCTGCTCGGTAGATGCCACGGGGAGGAAGAAGAAGAAGCCGTTTTATTTTCTCCCCCAGCAGCAGCAGGAGCAGCAGCAGCAGCAGCACTGCGAGCGAATGCAGGCCAGGGGATCCCCCGCCGCCGCTGCTGCTGCTGCTGCTGCTCAAGTTGCTGCTGCTGCAGCAGCTTGAGCTGCTTACCTATTCCTAATTCTCTTAAAGCCTCTCTCCCTTCACTTACATCATTAAGCAGCAGCGCCAACCATAAACGACTAAAAGCAACGCGAAATTCGGGAGACAAACGTCGGTACATTCCGTGATCCAGCAGCACCAGCTGCAGCTGACCCTCCCCCTTGCTGCTGCTGCTGCTGCTGCTGTTGCTGCTGCTGCTGTTGCTGCTGGGGGTGCTGCTGCTGGGGTTGGAGGCTTCGTCTGTCGATGGCGAAAGAGGTGATGTTGAGGAGGCGTCACACGCTCCTTGCGTCACTTGCTGCTGCTGCTGCTGTTGCTGCTGCTGCTGCTGCTGCTGCTGCTGCTGCTGGGGCGGCATTCTGCGTACGAGAAGATTTCCTGGGTGGGGGTCGCAATGGACGAAGCCGTGGACATGCAGCATATCCCCAAAGACAGTGAGTAGTAGGTGAGCAAGCTCGTTGTTCCCGCTGCTGCTGCTGCTGCTGCTGCTGCTGTTGCTGCTGCTGTTGCTGCAGCAGATCCCTTCCCGCTGGAGCGCATCAAGATCAGTGAGTTTGCTGCCATGTACGAACTCCATTGTCAACACCTTCTCTGTAGTTAAAGACCAATCAACCCAGGGTATATACACTTGAGGCGATGAATAGAATAAGCGCTTTGCTCGCACTGCATTATATCCTTCTTGAATAAAATTTAACTCCTTTTTCATGTTGCTATGAAACTCCGGCAAGATCCAAGCAATGCAGCAATGAGGAAAGAAGAAGGAAGCAGCAGCAGCAAGAAGCCGCAGCTGCTGCAGGTCTATTCTACTGTCTCTAGCCAGACCAGGACGCTGCAGCTTAACAGCAACAGCAGCACCATCAGTACTTCTCTTAGCATAATAAACTTGTGCAAGAGAAGCAGCAGCAACAGGAATATTATTAAACTCGCAGAAAAATAAAGATAGGGGGCCCCCTAACTCTTCTTCTAAGAGCTGCTGTGCTGCAGGCCAAGGGACGCTTGAGCACTTATCTTGTAGCTGAGACAGCACAGATATATACGCAGCAGGAAGTATATGCTGCAGTGTGCTTACATACTGCCCTAGCTTTACATATAACCCCCCTCTTAAAACACAAAGACGAAGCAACCGTTCGGCTCCACGTTGATGTACCTGCTGCTCTAGCTGCTGCTGCTGCTGCTGCAGCAGCAAGCACTTCGCACCCAATCGCTCGCTCTCTGCTAAGTGCTGCTGCGAACAATCCCCACAATCAAATGATGCTGCTGCTGCCGCTGCTGCTGCTGCTGCTGCTGCTGCTGCACGCAGCTGCTGTTCACACAGCCCCATCCACCATAGACGCATAAATGTTATTTTATAATCTGCTATACAAACAGCAAATGAACAAAAACTACGGAAAAAACGAAGCCATCCCGATACACCCCAAGAAAGCAAAGACACTCCGCTGCTAAGGCTGCTGCTGCTGCTGCTGCTGCTGCTGCTGCTGGTTTTGCTGCGGTCTGAGAGAAGAAATGAAGGCCAATGCAGCAGCTGCCCCCACTCCTCTGCGCTGCAGTAATGCTGAAGCTGTGCCCAAATAGAAGAAGCACCTAAAGAAAACAAACCTTGCTGCTGCTGCTGCTGCTGCTGCTGCTGCTCATGCTGCTCTTGCTGTTTATGCTGATGCGACACCGCAGCCAGCGGGATTGCTGCAGCTACAGCTGCAGCAGCTGCTCCCTGGTTCCACGCTCTTTGCTGCTGCTGCTGCTGTCTGCTGCTGCTCGGGTGTATCTGCAGCTCTTTGATATCTCCCTTATCATCAAACCTTCCTCTATTGAAATTAAGATGTTCCTTGTCACAAACAAAAGAGTAGAAATCGCAGAAACTGCTGCTGCTGCTGCTATCAAGAGCTGCAGCAGCAGGGGGGCCCCTATCAGCACGGCAAGAGGGGGCCCCCTCCTCTATATGAGATACGAGTTTATATGAAGGGGGGCCCCCTTCATAGAACAGCCTACTCCTACCTCTTTTTGCATGCACTTTAAACGAACGCATGCAAAAAGAAAGTATATGGGGCTGGTTGACTTTGCTGCAGCTCTTTAAAAAATGAATGCGCAGCTGCAGAGGCGGAACTGCTGCTGTGGTGTCCCTTTGCTGCTGCTGCTGCTGCAGTTGCTGCAGCTGCATCTGCAGCCTTCCCCCCCGCATCACTGCAGCAGTGAGGGCCCCCGTAGGGGCCCCCCTAGGGGCCCCCAAGGGGGGTGGCTGGGGGCCCCCCGTGGGGGCCCCCCTTTGAATGTTAAGAGGGGGGAAGCGGTAGGAAGGCCGAGGGACAGAGACTGAAAACCCAGAAGAAAGAAGACGAGAAGAGCTCATGACAGCACAAAGTGCAGCAGGAGCTGCTGCTGTGGGTAGCGGGAAGAAGTTCTTGAAGGAGAAGAAAGCAACAAACTCTGTCTAGAGAAAAGGCAGTATACCCCTTAAGAAAATAACTTTTTAAGGGTATTATCCACTAAAAAAAGAAGGGAGTTGGGAGCTAAAAATGATGATAATGTGTTTGAGCTGTATGCGCAGCGCCTAGGGGCTGGATCCCCAAGAAGTGGAGGTTAAGAAGAAGAGTGAAAGAAATATTAAAATTATTCAAAATGAAGAAGACAGGCTCCACCGTTGCTGCTTTGCAGACTCAAGTGTATGCACGCTGCGCTCGCGCCTACAGCACAAGAAGAGCAGCTAGCAGCAGCTTCTTCCGCTTCTTTAAAGAATAATAACTCAAAACAACAAAATAAAAACAAACAAGACAAAAAACAAGAAACAAAGGGTAAACAAACACCTTTGAAGCATTCTGACTGTGCAGACAGCTGGCTGCAGCCGCCTGCGCAGCGCCTCGCTGCAGCTTCTCCCTGCTGCTATTAAACAGAAGATAAGTAGATAAACATATAAAAAGGCATATACATATAATCAGAAGGGGAAGATCTGCAAAACAATGCAAAGAAAATAGAGATAAAATGCTTCTTTTCGCAATAAATACAGGAAAAAACAGAAAAGTCTTCGGTTTCAGGAAAAGAAAACCGACTCCCACATAGATAACCGACAGCGCGGCCGAACGGCGTATCAATTTGTTGCTGTTGTTGAAATTAATAATGAATTTGCACTTAAATAAAGGTAAATAAAGATAAAAATCGATTAAATATGCATTTAAAAACATAAATGACATTGGTTAAATATATTCCGTCGCCGGGACTTGAACCCGGGTCGCGCGGGTGAGAGCCGCGTATCCTAACCACCTAGACTACGACGGATGTTTGTTCCCGCTGAACCACTATCCTGCTCAATATTTAATTTAATATTATAATATTTATTTAATATTATAATATTATTATTATATTATTATTGAGATCTGTTATATCATGTAATGTATAGTAGGCAGCCACTAATCTATTGAATAGTTTGCTTAATATTATATTTATTTAAATACTATTACATTATTAGTATTATTATTATATTAAGATGTGCTATATAATGTATAGGCGGCAGTCACTAATCTACTGAAAAATTTACATAATACTATTATATCTTTATTATTATATTATTATTTTTGTTTTATATTTTATAAGATGCGTTATATCATATAATGCTTAGTAGGCAGCCACTGATTTGTTGAATATTTTATTGAATATTATATTATTATTTATTATTATTATTGCTTGATAGCGGACAATGTTTAATAAGATGCCTTACATAATATCTAGTAGGGAGTATTACACTACAGTAATAGATGTGTACTATATACAAAATATATGCATATACATATATATATATATATATATATATACATATATATATATATATATATTTACATGATAAAGGCAGAGCCACTATAGATAATATAATGCTTAAAGCACTTTGTTTATCTTTCCTCCTGCAGCCTTCTTCTTATTTAGCTCATTTATATTATAAACTGAGGCGAGGAGAATATACTTCTACAGCGCTCTCCGCATCCAGCCTCTGTACACCCCAATGCTGTTTAATTTAATTAATCGCTGAGCACAACTTCACACAAACTTCAAAGCGGCTGACCGCCTGAAGCCTCCTGCTGCTGCTGCTGCTGCTGCTGCCCCTCCTCCCGCTGCTGTTGCTGCTGCTGCTGGTTTCTCACAGCCTCTGCATGCATTCTAATAAATTACTAATCCCTATGGTTTTACCTTCAAAGCAAATGCTCACAGACAGCAGACTAACCGTCTCCTCAGCAATCGACTTCAACTAAATAAATCTGCTGCGTTGCTCCTAAGACTTGTACACTAATATATGAAAAGATAAATAAAATATATATATATAATATATATATATATATATTATAGTAGAAAGGGGTTAAACAAACAACAAGTAGAATTAATCTGAGCGTTCGCAAAGAAACTCGACATAAAAACTAATAGCACCGCAGCAGCAGCCTGCTGATTGCATTGCTGCTGCTGCTGCTGCTGCCGTTGCTGCTGCTGCGGCAGCATCTGCACGTACACCTCAGAGGGCGTAGCCTTCAGACAATCCTCTCTGCGGTGTCTGCGCACCTGAACTGTCTCTCACATTCCTACAACCCAATTAAAAAATAGAGAAGGCTTTTAATTTTTCTCTTGCCTCTCCTTCGTGTGTACTGGCTGGCTCGCTGCTGCTGCTGCTGCTGCTGCTGCTGCTGCTGCTGCTGCTAATGCATGCAAGAACGAGCTGCTGCTGCAACAACCAACGCCATCTCTGTCTTCTTCTCGTCTCACCAGAGACAATTTAGGAGACAGAAACTACAAAAAGGAGACAGCAAACAAACATCAGCAAACCGCTACTCAAGCGGTGCTGCAAACCCAGCAGGCCCCAGCGCCCCGCAGCTACAGCGCTTCCGCTGCATTGCTGCTGCTGCTGCTGCTGTTGCTGCTGCTGCTGCTGCTGCGTTTCTTTTCATTTCTGGCGCCCTGCGGCCTGCTGCTGCTCTACGACGAAGCTGCCCCCGTCGTCTCCAGCAGCAGCAGCAGGAGCAGCAGCAGGAGCAGCAGCAGCGGAGGTCATAAGGATCCCCCCGCTGCCAGCAGCAAAGGAGCTGCTGCCTCTATCTGTAGCAGATGTTGAAGTGCTTCCGTCTTCGTGCTTCGCTGAAGATGTCTGGGAGCTGTTCGAGTCAGCAGCAGCAGCAGCAGCAGCGTAACAAGGAAGAGCTCTATCAGCAACTGTCTTCGCTAGCTTCTGACTTGTTTGTTTCTTTATTGATGTTAATGTTATAAAGAATATACGCGGTCTACACCCCTGAACCACAGAATACTCAGGCGGAGGACCCGCTGCTGCAGCAGCAGCAGCAGCAGCTGCTGCTGCTCCTCCTCCTCCTGCTCTCCCCCCACCAGAGCCCTCAGCAACACCTACACCCCAACTGTCTCCTAAAGACGCACACACAAACCAAACACATACGCAAGAGACTGCTAGCTAGCTAGCTAGATAGATAACTAGCTAGCTAGCTAGCTAGCTAGCTAGCTAGTTGGATAGATACATATATAACTCGGTAGTTAGGTAGGTAGTTAACTAGGTAGTTAACTAGCTTGCTAGATGCTCATAACTAGCTAGCTAGCTAGCTAGATGGGCAGCTAGCTAGCTAGCTAGCTAGCTAGCTAGCTGTGCTAAAGCCTCACTTCTGCGTTGAGAGTGCCGCTTGGAGTCTCCTCTGCTGCTGCTGCTGCAGCTTCTTAATGTGTTAGTGTCGCTAATAACAGAAGCAGCCCCGCAAGAAGAAAGCGGAGACAGAGGAGTAGCAGCAGCAGCAGCAGCAGCGTCTTGAGGGCTGCTGCACCCCTTCCTAGAAGATGTCTCTCTTGATGCTCTCCCAGCAGAAACCCAAGAGCCTGACGATCCTGGAGCAGGTGTAGGCCGCTGCAGCAGCAGCAGCAACAGCAGCAGCAGCAGCAGCAGCAACAGCAGCAGATGATGTGCTGCTCTGATAATGACTGCTGCAGCCGCAGACGCCTTCGAGTGCACAAGCAGCCACGAGAGCAGCAGCAGCAAGAGAAGCAGCAGCAGCAAGACCAGCAGCAGCAAGAGCAACAGCAGCAAGAGCAGCAGCAGCAGCAGCAGCAGCAACAGCAGCAGCATACCTCCTTAGCCTTAATCTTTTGATGTCTCCTCCTGGGTTGCTGCTGTTTTTTTCTTTGAGAGAGAGAAGCAGCAGGAGAGAGAGACGTCTTTAACTTGGGGACAGTCTAAGACAAACAAACAAACAAAGATAAACATAGGAAGATATATAATAAACAGATATAATAATATAATATATAATAAACAAAGAGAGAGGAGACAGAGACAGAGACAGAGAGATGCAGCAAAAGAAATAAACAGAAAAAGGAGACAGACAGAGCAGACAAAACAAAAGGAGACAGAAAGAAAGAGACAGAAACAGAGACAGAGACAGATATATAAACAATGAGAGACAGAAAGATAAATATAAAAACAAAGATATAAAGATATATATATATATATACATATATATGCATATACATATATATATATATATATATATATAGAGAGAGAGAGAGAGAGAGAGAGAGAGATGTATAAAAACGAGAGGCAGAGAGATAAAAGAGACAAGGAGACAGAAAGAAAGAGATAAAGGAGACAGAGAAAGAAGAAAAGAAGGGAGAAAGAGCAAGAGAGAAGAGAGGAGACAGTAAAACAGAGAGAGACAGACAGACAGCAGCAGACTAAGCAAAGGAGACAGAAGAAAGATGAGATAAAAACAAAAGGAGACAGAAGAAAGAAGAGATAAAGAGTAAAACAAAATGAGACAGATGAAGAGATAGAGTAAAACAAAAGGAGACAGAAGAAAGAAGAAATAAAAACAAAAGGACACAGCAGAAAGAAGAGATAAAGAGTAAAACAAAAGGAGACAGAAGAAATAAGAGATAAAGAGTAAAACAAAATGAGACAGATGAAGAGATAGAGTAAAACAAAAGGGGACAGATGAAAGGAGAGATAAAGAGTAAAACAAAAGGAGACAGAAGAGATAAAGAGTAAAACAAAAGGGGACAGCAGAAATAAGAAATAAAGAGTAAAACAAAAGGAGACAGCAGAAATAAGAGATAAAGAGTAAAACAAAAGGAGACAGATGAAAGGAGACAGACGAACAGGGAGACAGATGTTCGGCTGTCTGAATGCCTTCCACGGCAGCAGGGGGACACGCGACAGACGACGCAGCAGACGCGGAGACACTCCAAGCAGATTAATAGCAGCAGCAGCAGAAGAAGAAGAGGAGAGACTTCGATAAGAGCGACGCGCTATAGCCTGAAGCCTACGAGAACGAAGCTGCAGCACCAACAGCAACAACAGCAACAGCAGCAGCAGCAGCAGCAAGAACGAATAAAACTTTGCAGACATACGACGCTTTGCTGCAACAGCAGCAAGTGTATGCTGCTGCTCGCATACATATATATATATATATATATAGACAGTATACCTAAGCAACTCTGCTGCTGCTGCTGCTGCTGCTGTTTGTTGTTGCTGCTGATGCTGCTGCTGCTGTATGCTGCTTCTTGCTGCTGCCTCTAGGAGCAAGAGCAGCAAACGAAGGAGACAAGAGTAAGAGAGTTCTATGATATCCCCCACATGCAGCTGTACAGACAGCTGAGGGGGCCCCGTCTGGTAGCGTTGCATGCAGTAGTAGTAGCGTATGTTTCAATAGTAGATTTTAATAGCTTGTTTGTTATAAAGTAAATAAAATTTATATTTTTATTAAAGCAGCACTTACGCGGGGCTGCACACCACCCGACTCCATCAGAAGCCTACTAAGGGCCCTGCAGCGAAGACGATGCGAAGAAGAGATAAATATAATAATGTCATTGCTTAAGAGAGAGAAGAGTAAAGAGGAGAAGAAGCTGTAAAATAATATGCCCCAGCTTATGCTTCTCCTGCTGCTGCTGCTGCTGCTGCTGCTGCCGCTGCTGCTGCTGCTGCTGCTGCTGTTGCTGCTGCATATCTACAAGTCTGGCCTCCATCGTTTGATGTATGAGCACTCGCACAGCTTAGGAGAAAACGAAGCAAATACAGACAGCTCTAAAGCCTATCTATATAACATTTTAAAGAAAACTTCAACAGACGCTTCACAGAAAAAGATTAGAAACACAAACTCATCCTTTCCTTAACCCGGCACCCGCGACACCCCAGTGGCGCAGTGCTGCTGTTGCTGCTGCTGCTGCTGCTGTTGCTGCTGCTGCTGCTGCTGTTGCTGCTGCTGCTGCGCCTTTACTAAAGCCCTCTGCTGTAGAACAAACTTTTTATTTCCTTAAAGAATATATTCAAAATTTTAATCGTTTTATATTAATTTATTGCAAAGAAACAACAAAATTTATAGCGACGCATATCTACATACCCTACGAGCTGTACGTACACCCCGCAGGCTTCTTCTCATCTCTTAGGGCCCAATAAACTCTACAAAAGAGTTTATTTATTTTATTTATTTAACTTTGATTTTTAAAATTATTTACTATTTTCTAAGGCCTCAATTATTCTCTCTATTCACCTGAGGCATTGAGAGCGCAGCGGGAGGTGCGCGGTGTATATACGCCAACACTATATATATATATATATATATATATATGTATATATATGTATATATATATACATATATATA